ATTACATCTGTTAAAAGAAAAGGAAAGAGGGTTTTTCCAACTGTTACGTGATATTCTACAAGGCGATGATAAATAAGCTGATTAGTTGAAGGAAAATTAACACCATTTGACCACAAAGGCGACTATGCGGGAAAAAAAGTGTTGTGGCTAATAGCACCAGTAAAAAGCAATAAAATACTAAATTTCCGAGTTTTAAAATGTTTCAATGGTTTCCTTTTTCGTCACCTCTCCTCTTCCCATGATATAATCAGCAATATCGAGTCTGATTGTGTTTAGCGTATCCTAACTGTTTGAAAGTACTGCGAACGACCTATTGAAAAAAAAGATTGCATGCCGCACTTTTCTCACTCCTTCATAAAAATCAATTAGAATATTCATCATCTTTTTTGAAAACAAGTTTCTTCCATAAATTGCACTATCGTATAGTAAAAGTTTGGTGCAAAAAAGATAATTACACATGAACTTCTACCACATTTAGAGTGAAGAAAATGCTTCTCAGATAACAATTTCAAAAGATGGCAGTTAAACTATTCGCTATAGAGTGTCCAAAAAATAAGCTCAAATGTGTTGCAGGCTGAAACACTCCTTCTTGCTTTTCTCATCATAAGATCAATTATTGTTTACTGAAAACGACTACATTAAACAACAAAAAGCGGATCATGTTATAGCCTTCTGTTCCTTTAGAGTATTAAATTCAAAGCATCAGAAAAAAATAGTAAATAACTACTTTTATGAATGAAAAACTGATTATTTATTGCTGATTTGAACAACAAAAAACTTCGGTCTTCGCGCAGTGCGCATCTTATAAAAGTTTGAAATGGCAACAATGGCGTAAAAATGTTGTTTCCAACTGTCTGTGAGATACCGTGACGAACAGAGAGCATTCCCTATTAGTACAGTCTACACCAAACGTCCGCTTCTTTTGCCCCGATAAGCCGTCCACCAACGCATGTGCTAGTTCAAACAACAGCGCTACAATTACGTTGCCACTGTTCAACTAAAAATCGCAATATATGTCTTTCTATTTTTGTGTCAATGCAAAACTGATAGGCTCTAATACTGTCAACCCTTCCCCCATCTTAATGGTGTAAACTGCGTCCAGTTTATGACAAGAGAAATGATTGAAAACTAGGCTGTTTTGAATTGTTTTGATATAAGCAAAATAAGCACTGTTGCCTTCTGCTGAATAAGTTTCCTTTCGATCTGTTCCAAACAAAAAACTGTGGCCCAAGATGTAAGAATACCTATTGCTGAGCTAAAATTTGTTTAGATATAAATTATCCCTATCAGTCTTCTTCATCCTAAGCCTCTTACTTCACCAGAAAAAAAAAACGAGAAATATAAGAACTCTGCACATTGAATCATTTTGTTTGTGATGAATCTGGTAATGTTATTTCAGTAAAGAACACTGTACATATATGTATATGGGGGAACAAAAGTGTGTTGTTTATTAAAATTTTTATCAAAAAAAAAAATAACTGAGACACAAAATAGTTAATGCTAACTGAATTTGAAACGATCCCTAAATGACGACAAATATCAACAAATGATTTAGATTCAGTTACATTTCTGACTGAGACCACAATTCGGCTTGTAATTCAAAGCAATTCTAAAACCTGTCCGGGTATAACATTGTCGACCAACCTTTTACAACATGTCAGTGGCCCTCCCACCAGTAGAAAAATTTCCGTTTAGAAAACGTCGTGAACAAACTGATAGTGGCGATAGCTATTTGTCAGTAATGTATCAAAGGAAACAGAGGGGAAATATTTGCTTTTCATTGCATAAATAAACGATAAATTTAAAGAAATAAGAAATTATTTTCCTTTAGTTTTTTAAGACAATTTTTTGTGTCAAAAACTGACATATCGGCAAATTTGCGATAAAAAACGAGCTTACATCTTATCAAAATCCTAATAAAAAAAAAAATTCCCAATTTCTTTTCTCGACAGCGTTTTCTTTCGCAGTCCAGCTAAGAAAGTAAAAGTAAATAAGCAAGTGTAAAGCTAAAGACTTTTTTGACAGATGTTATTCGTTAATTGTATAAAAAGCAACTTACTTCAGCGCTACCTTATCCTTGGTAAATCACGCGCACTCACGAATATAATTGTCTACGTGATAAGTGTCACTGATTCAAAACAATATTTTTAGAGATCATAGCTGCATTAATCAGTAATGAAGAGTAAGAGGGCGGAGAAGCAAAAAAGCTTTGGTGGCAATCTGTCGGAGATCGAAAACCGGAATTATTGCCAGAGAGATGAACTTTGGATGTGCACCATTAGTTAATAACCGTTGACAAATGACGGTTAAACAGAAAACATAGTAGCTTTCTAACAAAAGCAGCGTGAAAAGATAACATTCAAATGTATGAATCTCTGGCATTTTGAATCAGAAGAAAAAGATTTAAAAAGTGGTCTGTTGAAATGAAAAACCGATAGCTGCTGGGATGGCAAGAATGCCAAATCTACAGCTAGACTTTTCAACTCTTTGTTTGCTTTCTTAATGCCTTACCTTCTCATCTTTAAATGGAACTGAAGCAAAATCTCATATCGCTAAGTGATATAACGCAATTTCCACCAAGTTTTTGGTCACAAATGATAACTGAAGGATATAGTGGCCTAATATCGGCATTTTATGTCATTCGAAATAAAATCTACTATAAGAAGTTTCATTTGCACCGGTGAACTATAATCAGCAAAGACTTCAGTGACTAAAGTGTGAAGTCAGCTGTCTAATGATCTACTATTATTTTGGAAAGTTTAGCTTATTTTTTATGTAAGAACAACAAAAATTTGTTTCCCCTACAAACTTTCACTATTTGAATGATTTAGAAGCGGAAAAATTTTAGTTGATATCATTTGAAGAAAAATTTGTTTCTGATACTATTTGAAAAGACATTTCTCTTGAGAAAACTCTGAACTGCAGGTGTAAGTGCGAGAAGTCTGTTGACTTAATTGACTAATTCA